GAGATTTTGTGCGAAGTGTCGAGTTTAAGACCGAGAAATTTGGGTTTTTTCGTCTTTGTTATGATCTTACTAGATGCTTAAAAATTCGAAAGAGACGAATTTTCCAAAAAAATTGATTTTTTGTGCTTTCTCTTTTTCTCTTCAAATTTTTCGTACTCCGCAATAGTTATGATTTTTTTTGAGTTTTCTACATTTCCGAATTTTTTTGTTGTCAGATAACTTCAACTAAAAATAGTGATTATTACATTTTAGGATTCAATTTAATATCGGTAATATAAGTTTTTCATCAGTTAGTAATTAATACTATATAACTATGATAATATTATGATATGTCAACTAGTAATAAAATTTTCCAACAACAACAGAAAAAAGAAGAAAAGAGTAGGTTACATTTTTTTTGTTTTAACACTTTCTTTTATTGAGACTGATTGAGAATATATTACATCACTGAAGAAGGTGAAGAGATGAAATACCCAGAGAAACTAATGGTTTTTTTCGCACCGAAAAATAAGTGAAGACAAACATCTTTGATGACATATTAGCGATATCAAGACAACCTTGTTTCGAATCCAAAGTAAACAATTAGGTATTCTCATATCCACAATAGCAGTCGGACTTCTAATACATGTTACGATAACACGACAATAATTCTCTTTTTTAGATAAGTCTCCTTCTTTGATTGCTTTTGTCAACTTTGTTGCGAGATAGCTTCGCTGAAGCCACTATTAAACAAATTTGAACTCGAACACTTAAATCAGAATGATAGACAAAAACAAACACTCGAACCACTTCGACCTAGATACCACCAAAATTGGGAAAAACGGGCAAGAGATCGAAACCAACGAGATAACCTAAAAATCCACCATAACCAACCGGAGACGTAGCAACAACCATCTTCATAAAGGACAACTGCAACCACTGGAGGAGATCCAGCAACATTTACGAAACTGGATCTGACAAACAGAAAGAAAAAAGAAGAAGCGTTTTGTCATTGATGCAACACCATCGACCCCTAGGTAACGGCGCCTCCACTTTTGTCACCGTTGAGGTTAAATAATTCTCATCTTTTCAAAACATCCAACAACAACCCAAAAGTTTAATCCGAAAAAAAGTTTAAAGAAAACTAAGAGAATCAAGAGCAAATTTTCGAGGGAGACCAGCAACCGACGTTAGATGAGCCGCCGGCCACCGGTCTACACCTAACCTAACGGCGGCTGTCTCTCAAATGTTTGGAATCAAAGACTTCGGAAGGACATCATTGTCCTCAGGTATTCCAAAATCAAACATCTAGTGAAAGAGATGTAATCTGGAAATCCTAAGAGGATTTGAATAAAGCTCACATTTTAAGCATTTCTAAAGGAAATGTTATTTGGTCTTGAAGTACCAAAATTTTAAATGTTGTGTAACTTATAATAATACCTCGTCTACAAAAGATTGTGAGGTATACGATATGTTTTCAATAAGAAAGAAAGACAAAATAGTTTTTTAAAAAAATATGAATAACTCGTAAGTACAATCGAGCATTTAGAAGATTGTACGTAAATAGAAGTTTGAGCCAGAAACTCAAAAATGATCCTCTACATGACCGGGATGGACTGAAAATTTAGTGACCCGAGAAATTATGATGATCATACAAGTTTATTCACTAAGAC